GTACAAATAAATAAATCTTAAAAAATAAATAAATAAATAAAAATAAATAAATAAAAGTCAAGTTGTCTAGGGCCCTCCCTGGTGGCGCAGAGGGTTAAAGCACAGCACAAAGAAGCTTAAGCCACTTCCGCATGAGTTCGATTCCCGCCTACCCCAGAGGTGTGTGTATATATATATACACACACACACACATTAAAATAAAAAATACATTAAAATACATTAAAATAAAATAAAGGTCAGACCACATGGTGTGGCAGACCTTTCCTGACCTGCCCACTGCTCCCCTCAGCAGTGTACTTCATTGATCTGCCTGTTCTGCTCCCCACTCTGTCCCTGGTGAACCCTCTCACCCTCTGCATCTCTGGCCTGTACCCCAGTTCTGTATGAATAAATAAATAAATCTTAAAAAAAAGTCAACTTGTCTATATAATGCTGAAATCAATATGTAAAATATGCTTATTTTGTATTTGTAGTATATTTCAATGCCCAAAAAAGTTTAAATTTCTGTCCTTTATTCTTTGAACCCAGTAAATAATTCTCTCCCACTGCTCTTAGATACTATAAAAGGCCTCCAAGTGCTTGGAGAGTGGAGAAAAGCAGGCTAATAATAGATTAGTGTGTATTAATTTGCAAAACTGTATAAGGACACCATCATTGTTCCTCAAAGCACAACCTGTCTTCAGAGTGTGCAACAGATGGCCAAAGTGCATCATGAAAACTTATCTGGTTATTCAACTAGCAATGCAGTTTATGATATAAATTTGGTCATAAAATAGAATTTCCTCTAGGCAACAGTTTTGTGGGAAATTTTGTAAGAAGATATATTGAATTACATATTTTTATATATAAATCTTTATATGCATGTGATCCAAGTTATCATTTACTAAAATTATAATTATTAATTGTGATTTTATAAATAAATTAAAATGATTGTACATGTATGTATGTATGTACGTATGGATGTATATAGGTGACCTTATCTCTACACATTGGTGCTATATAACAAAAAAAAAATGCAGGTGTTAAAATGTCAGCTTCAAGGTTTAGACACATACATTTCAGATATTTGGGTCTTTTCCTTACTTTCCAATAAGTTTTCACTTCTTACCCAGCTTCAGACTTAAGCTCAGATTTTTTTGTGTAAAGTGCTAAAAACTCTAAATCTACCAAAATGGGTATTGTGAAAATTCCTAAAGAGACATAGCTTAGTAACACATATATGCACTAAGTTTCAAAACTTATCTGATCCTTACCTAAGACAATTTTCTGATGAGAGAGACTTGTATAACAGGGGCTCAGCAGGGGACAGAAAAATATTGCAAAGGAGTTGGAGGGTTGCAGAGTGAATGCTGCTTCTTTGCAAAGGAGTTGGAGGGTTGCAGAGTGAACACTGAGTAGAGTACAGACTACACCTCTGTTTTGTTTTGTTTTTTTCCCACTGTTGTCTGTATCCTTTCAGCAGCCTGGACTTAAGTTTCCAAGTGAAAATGAAGATAATAATAACAATTACTTCATAGTTGTGCTTAGCGTGCTAAATGAGGTAGTATGTGAAAAACATTTGAAACACTGCCTGTCACACAGTAAGGTCTGTGAAAGGAATAGCTGCTTATTTGCAGTATTAACGTAGGCATGACAGTTGTGTTTTGTGACCTATTTGATGTTTGAAGTCTAATGGCTCTTAGGATTTGTTTTTGTTTTGCCTTCTAACCATAGCCTGTAGTGCTTTTTCCCAGAACATAAAAGCCCTGGTTAAATTGTCAAGCAGCACCAAGTATAGACTTAGATAACTGCATTGGGAGCAAGTCCCTTTGGGATTTGCTCAGAATGCTCTGAGTCTGTTGCCCAGGGAAACAAACTAATGATGTCACAAGGTATCACACTTCCACTTCTCTCTCAGATACCTTCTGCTGAGCCTGAGGCAGGGCCCATTCCACAAACTCTTCCTGGCCTTAACTCTCCAAGGCAATGCAGAGACCCTCACTCTCTTCTAGCAATGTCTAAACTGAGGTATGTTGGAGATTTGACCACACACCTCTTTCTATATATCTTCCCTTCCACAGAACAGGAGTGCCTGTGCACAGGAGTGTCAGGGAAAGTCCTGAGTAACCCTTAATTCTCTAGAGAGTAGGTACAGAACTAAAAAAAAAAGAAAAAGAAAAAGAAACTCCCTTGTGGTTTCTCCCTTAGGACGAAAGTTTGTTTCAGATTTTATCAGGCTTTAGAGACCAGAGGAGCAAGATTACAACACACTTTTCCATTCTCTTTACCTGTAGGGCATGAAGTGCCCTAAATATGCCCCCAATTTCTCTTGGTCTATCAAGCTGCTCCTTAATCTCTCAGGAGATATTATTGCAACTTCCTTACTCTGCTTGAATGAAAAGGTAAGGAAAGAGAAGATAGTTTCAACGGCTATTACTTTATGGTATTTCATGATAAGGCCACTTGCCCCACCCCTGTCAAAGAGTACAAGTGTAGCTCTTGCTTTGCTCTCTGCCTCCTTCAAAGTGGAAATATGTAAACGTAAGCAACACTGCAGATTACCTGCTGTTATCTGAATGAAGTCATCAGAAAACTAACAATAATCCTCTTTCTTAAGTTTTTCAGGGATAAAGCCTATAAGAAAAGCCATTCAATTCATCAGTGTTGGAATTCTCTGTCCCAGAGGTGGGTGTTCGCCCTCTCAGGCCTGCCACAGGGATCAGCAGGAACCAGAGGGAAGCTCCTCCAGATCCTCTCTGTTCCCGGATCACAGCCAGCCATGACAAAGGCGTCTACGTGCATATACCACTTCCTTGTGCTAAGTTGGTATGTTTTCCTCAATCATTACATCTCAATACAAGCAGAAGATCCGAAGAAATTAAAAATCTTTGTAAATGGTGGACAGTGGAAGTACTTGACCTTCCTTAATCTGGTAAGTCTCTAAGGCCATGACATGTAGCAATCTATTTGTCTTACATGTGGGGAGAAGGTTGGAGTGAGGTGGAGGCATGGGAGTGGGGAGGGCAGCAGGTGAAAGGATTCACCAGAGACAGAGTGGAGGAGAGAACAGGCGGATTTATTGACATACACAGCAGAAGGGAATAGCAGGCAAGAAGGTAGAAATCTGTGCGTGAAGGGGGATTTGAGGCTCTCTTTGACACTGTTTCCTCAGGCTTTCTAACATGGGGCACCAGTTAATTGCTGGGATGCCTGGTCTCTGGTACTAGCCTCTGACACAGAAAACATATTCTGGCCCCTGCTTCCGCTTCCTGGTGCTGAGCTGGTTTTTCTGGTCACTGTGCTCCCTTTTATGGCCTTGTTCCCAAGGCAACCTGATCCATCCCTTTATCTGTTCCAGTCTCCCAAACCACCTGCTGGGCCAGGAGTGGGGCTTAGTGTTAACCTGATTAATTTATGCCGTGATATCGTATGAGTGTTTGTTACACATATCACCTTTGGCTTTTATAAAATACACAACTTATTTGTCTTCCTTTTTCATTCTTTCTATTCAGTGCTTGTGAATTTTGGCTTTTCTCTACTTTTGATTTCCTCTAAGAAATCTAATCTGAAATTATCTGTGCTGGTTAATTGTTAAGTGATCTTTTGAACAGAATCTTATCTTGGAGCTCTTCTCAGGTGAGCCCAAATGGGGAGTGAATTACTGATTTTACTATGGGACCAATGGAAAAGCAGGAGAGATTTTGAACTTTGCTGGGGGAAGTCTGTGAGGAAGGCAGAGCAGCGTATGTGGTGTAGGAAGTGCAATTTCCAGTGGAGGGATAATGCCATTTTACAGCACACACAGACTAACAGATTTATCTAAGAAAAGCAAACACATTTTTGCTGTGTTCAGATCCCACTTCAATTTTTATAGGCTCAGGCTCATCTTAAAGGACAAATCTCTCAACACAATGATAAATTTCACATTTTCCAACTATTTAAAAGCCAATCATCTGACTTGATTGCTTGTCTTTCCAGCCTAGCTGACCACATTCTGATCAATGAATGAAGTGTGACTAAATGAGAGAAAAACAGTTTATAAAAACGCTTTGGGCAAGACTGAAAATGGTACATCCTTTGTACTGTTAATGCTAATTAATGCTTGACCTTTTAAACAAAAACGTTGAGTCTCATAAATAGCTGATTTTAGAAACAGAACAGAATATTTCAACCCTCTGGAATAATATATATATTTTATGTAGAGGTTATGTAGAGTCAAAAAAATAATATAAAGGACTGAAATGAATGGAGAGGAAACAGAGATGTCAAAATCAAAGGAGACCAGTGGTTCTATTTCTTCCTCTCTGGTCATTTGCTGAAATTTGATTTTGAAATTTTTGAGCCGTAAACCAGTCCCCCAAACAACAAAATATGGTTTTGTGAAACCAGAGTAATTCAGTAAAAATCTCAACTGCCTGTATCTATGGACTTTATATAAAAAATTGTCAACTGTACTCATAAGTACTTATAGCCAGGACTGATGTTCTAGCCATAGTCAAACTCCAATATGCAAGACCTACATCACACTAAACATAGAACATATTTATCACCTACTCCCACAAAAACAGCTCCCCAGTTTGTGCTAGATTAGTTATATGCCCCAAAGCCCTCATTTTTCCAAAAATGGAAAAAGATACTTATCTTGACAAAGATACTATCGTTTCCTACTATTAATCTTCTTTTTTGCTTTCCTGACTGATGAGTCACCAAATCCTATGTTCTTCTGTTTGCTCAATTCACCTCTCTTCCCTGGTCTAATGTCCCTTTCACTAACTTATACAGGATGAACGAATCATCTCATCATTGCTCTCATTATTTTATTTTTATTTTTTAAGATTTATTTATTTGTGCATACAGAACTGGGGTACAGGCCAGAGGCTCAGGGGTGGTGAGAGGCTTCATCAGAGACAGAGTGGGGAGCAGAACAGGCGGACTGATGAAGTACACTGCTGAGAAGAGCAGCAGGCAGGTCAGGAGAGGTCTGCCATGCCATGTGGTCACCTCCGGGGCAGGCGGGAATTGAACTCATGCAAAGTGGCTTTAGCCTCTCAGTGCTGTGCTTTAACCCGCTGTGCCATCAGGGAGGGCCCGCCCTCTCATTATTTATCTATGCATCTACCCATTCAGATTCTAGATAATTTTCTCAAACCATGATGTTTGGTTCAAATTTGTTCCCAATGTCATGACTCAACTTGAAAAGCATACTTGAGAAACTATGGCCTCATCATCCTAACTTATAAAAACAATTCCAACTCCTAACCTAAAAGCTCATCTGCCTACCAGCTTTCAGGCCCCTCATGCTACCAAGACTGCTCTCTTCTAAAAAAGCCCTGTGTCTTCTCCAGTGTATTGATCTCCAGACCTCTTGATGTCATTGCTCTGTACACTTTCATGCTCTCCTCAAATGAAAGGTCTACCTGCCCCTCCATTATTTTATTGTTTTCGTAGATCACCTAAAATCTCCTTAAAATCTCTGCTGACTAGCTAAAATCTGTCATTTCTTTCCTTGAGTTTCTATAGCACCTCTCAGTCTCTTTTCTTGTTTATGTGCAATATTGTTTTCTAATTGGCATCCACATGTGAATCTTAATGTTCTAATTAAATTTTAAATGGACCCAAAGTATTTTGTCTTCAAGATCCTTGCTAGCTCTAAAGTTCTCCCAGTCTACATTGTATTTGTACAACAGTGCAGACGATTCCCACAATAAATATGGGGTGACTTAGTACATTGACTAGACTTGACCTCAACTTTTTCTGCATTCCTGACATAAACTGACATTTTTGGCCCTTGAAAATGAGTCGAAGGGGCTTCCCTGTGGTTATTTCCTTTCTACACTGGTGAGTGTCATTTGAAAGTATGACCTAATGAGATGCTTCCCCATTGGCAAAGATGGGTTGAATGTGTTCAGAAGATCAATTTAAGGATAGAACTCAAATAGTTAATTAATATGAAATGCTGGGTGTTAAATTTTCTGGCTCTTGAGGTCTCATGGGCTGATTAATGATTGTTTCTTGATGAGGTTAAGTCGACTCATGATTAATTAGATAATAGTTGTGTTTGTAGAGTCATAGGAACCTCATACTTTATATATAAAACACTTTCATTTTTAAGTAAGTTGTTGAAGTCAGTACTTCACCCTGCTTTCCGGGAAATTCACACTTCTCCTCTTAAATAGCTTTCATTTCATAATATCAGTTATGTCTCATTTTAAGAGCAAAATCTGCCTTAGCATAAGTCAGCATTCTGAGCATGTCCCATTTCCTCCTGAAGCTAACCAGGACATTCAAAAGGAAGGTAGGTGGGTCTGGTGGCAGAGGTAGGAGGTGGGATGTCTGGGGCTTGGCAGGGAGGGAGATCTGTCATTGAGAACTGGTCATGATGACTAATTCCTGCTAGGTGACTAAGAGAGAGATGAAAATTTTTTGCCTAAGGGAGGAGGAAACTGACCCCAGGGAGGAAGCAATGAATTTTCTGTTAGGAGGGAGAGGCAGTCTGTCTAGTAGTTTAAAAATATGAGCTCTAGGACTATACTCTCTGGAATGGCACCTCAGTTCCTCCAGTAATGGCTCTAGGACCCTGGGCTAAGAATTCATTTCCACATTCACCAAATAGGAATAAAGGTAAGGCATAATCACTCAGAGGGGTAATTGACCTGGTATGCCTGAAGCTCTAGGAATGGTATAAGAAGTAGATAATGGAAAGAGAAAAAAAAAAAAAACAAACAAACAGTGAGCTTCTAGTCATCACTTCTGAATGGAGATGGTGGAGAGAAGGGGGGACATTTACCAGGATGTCACCACTGAGTACCATGTGGGCGTGTGATAGATCAAGGTACATGCCAAGCACCACCCTCATTGTTTGCTACCTGAGCCTACTCACCCCCTCCACCAGCTGTGTATATTCTCTGCCCAGCTAGAGAAGGGCCAGGGTAGAGGCAGGTTATTCCCTGTTAGATTCATCCAGGGGATCCCTCAGCCCTGAGAAGCCCTTAGCAGTCTCAGGCAGAGACAGCCTGTGGTACTGCATGGGGAAACCTCCAGAAACTGGACGTGAAGTGGAGGCAGTGCTGTGCCCTCAGCCATCCTGTGTGGGTCTCCTCTTCACCATATACTCTGCTGCCCCCAAGTCTGTTCCTGACCCCAGTAACTGCACCCTGGATTGGGTGGGGAGATGGAGGAAATGTTCTGCTCTAATTTGGCTTGCAAAGTTAAAATACTTTGCTGGATTTTCTCCTTTATGAAAATAAACTTCCTTCTGAAACATTGTTAGAGGTGGTGCCACATCACTGGACTAACCAGGAGACATTCTGGGCACCTCTCCCATTCTCCCCAACTCCCCTCATCAACAGAGGAATGACTGTTCCCTCCATTCTCCATACAGTTACAAGCACAAAGCAGCTCCGGCCCCATTCTCCTCCAGCTCTCCTAATCACAACAGTGATCTGATCTGAGGTCTTGGGGCCAAGGAAAATAAATCTTGGAAGACAGTCTGTGGGTCCAAACCCCAAGGCACCCTGTGAACAGTGAGGAGATAGGGACAGCTTGGCGTCACAGCACACATTCTTTCTTTTTAAAAAAGATTTATTTGTATTAATTTATGCATACAAGAACTGGGGTGCAGGCCAGAGGTATGGAAATGGGGGGGGTGAGGGTGAGAGGATTTCCCAGAGATGGAGTGGGGAGCAGAACAGGCAGATCTACTGAAATACACTGCTGAGGGGGATCAGTGGGTGAGACAGGAGAGGTCTGCTGCGCCATGTGGGTCAGCTCCCGGGCCGGGGATCCAACTCAGATCATCTCGGTAACAGCACTGAGATTTAACCCCTATGCCACCAGGGAGGTCCTACAACACTCATTCTAATACTTGTGGGGACAACCTTTACTTTCCATCATTAGTTTACTATATTCACCTGTGGGATTCAAGCTCAATAG